GTACTGTAAGACAAGGACTATTCTGTCACTGTTAATAGCTGCCACAGCATTGAAGCAATGGACAAAATAACCTCTCACTGGTCAGCACCTCATTAGGAGTGACCAGAAGAAACCAGGCTGCTTCCCAGATTACAGCCTTCACCAGTTGGACCCTCCAATTAGTACATGTTACTCAGAGCTGTTACTTGTTTGAATAGAAACTCTTGGGCTGGTCCTGAGAGGATTTGTCTTTTAATTAGGTAATTATAAATCCCTAATTATGGGCTCATAATCTTTCTAATATCTCTTCTTAACTTTGGCGCCAACTAGACCAGATGACTTGGACTTAGCCTCATCCTTGAGGAAAACGAGATTTTTCTTCCAGTGATAAGAGTTGTTTTCTGTAGATTATGTGTGACTGGGTGTAAAGATTACTAGTGTTTCTTAAGCTGCTTAGACAAGGCATTAAGGTGCTTTATATCTGTATGTATATATAGTAAATAGTGAATAAATTCAAAGATGCTTTCAATAGCTGGATCTGCATCTGTAGAAGAGCAATAACAAAACATGTATGAACATTAGCATACATGCATTATAACTGATGTATTACACATGTTCTTTTTTTTTTTTTTTTTTTCCATGGTAGAATGTAGAATTACACAAAGTTCAATAAAATTGATTGTAAACAAGAGGAAAACTGGACACATTTTATCTACAATTCAAATAGCCTTCCATTTCCTTAGTGAGAGCTGGCACTGGTAAAAGATGTTACGAGACTGTTACTCTTCCTCATTGAAACTTTACTCACAAGATTGGTTTAACTTCAGGAGTTACTTAAATCCAGAACTACGTCAGAGAAAATAAAATAAATAAATAAATGAAATCAAGAAGGAAGGAAGGAAGGAAGGAAGGAAGGAAGGAAGGAAGGAAGGAAGGAAGGAAGGAAGGAAGGAAGGAAGGAAGGAAGGAAGAAAAGCAAATCACCTCAAAACTCAAAATGGAATTTAAGGAATACCAAAAAAATTTGAAAATCAGAGTCAAGTTCCAAGAACAACCACTGAAACAAAAAGGTAAGAGAGATTTTTGAAATAATATTGAGTATTACTCCTTAGAAAAAGAAACCTAAATTAAAAAGAAAATATGGTAAACAATTAGGCTAAGTAATCCCACATTAAATGAATCATATTGTTGGTTAACTGTGGGTGGTTAGGGTCTGGCGGCCGGAAGATATCGCGCTGTACGGAAAGGTGGAGTCCCTCCCTTGATGGGCAGTAGCACGTGGTCTGTGACATAAGCAAGCAGAAGTGACGCTATGGGCCTCGGCTATATAACCCCATGTGACTCGACAATAAACGCCATTTGCCATCCACCACATTGGTGTCTGTGAGCCGATGGACTGAGCAGCCTGGGGTTGGTCGCTGTGCGGTTCCTGAACCAGGTTGCCACTGCCCCCTGAAGGCAACAGTTAACAAGAACTGTATGACTTTGATATGTGTTTATTTGTTTTTCTGCTTAGATTTTTTCTTCAATCAGTAACTGAAAACCCCAGAATTAGGTTCCACGAATACTTTCTGGTGCAACTGCTTCTGTAGCATATGGTAACTTTAGACTACAAATGTATAGATATAGATCTGATACATCAAGGGCTTTGTGTTAATCTCTATGGTTAATCTGAGGTCTTTACAGCATTAATATATATATCAGAAGATGATGCTTTTTAATTGTTCTCTCCAAAACATTGAAGAAGTGCTTTCAAATGCTGAGGACAAACAGGAGTCATCTCCAAAAGAAAACTGAAGCACTGGATATGAACTCTACATACAAGATACGGAGAAAAGAAAAAGATATATTCAAGAGAGAAGGTGGTATGATTTAGCACATTTTCCTCCACACAGATCTCCAATAAATTCTTGTCGTGGGAAAGAAATTTTTCAGTCTTCCATTCTTTTTGTGTTGGGTTCTGGTTATTGTGTGGGTTGAATAGCAAATATTTGGTAGTTCTGGGCCTACTGAAACTATTTGAAAATATAGTGGTTGGAGCAGGAATCGGGTGTCATGAACTATGTGGAATTTATTTATTCTAAATCAGCTGTGCACTTTGAAATTGGTAAATCCAGTTCTTGGAAATTATTACACTTTAAAAGTTATTTTTGAACTATGAGATGGAAATGCAGAGTTAAGGTCAGTAAACAAAATCAAAACACTGCAGAATTAATTGCATACACCTAAATCATCAGGAAAGAAAAATGGAAAGACATGGGAATATTCCAAATGAGGTGTCAAATTTGTCTTTGCATTTCCCTTAGGATTCAACTGAATGCACAGAAATAAATTTGAAAGCAAATTCTATTTATAAAACCTCCATTGTATTGATGTATGCATCAGTTATTCTTATGAATAAGAATAGTATGCTATAGCCGTTTCACAGACAACATAAGAAAATTTATAGCCACCAAATAAATCAATTTTGGGAATAGGAATTTTTAAATGTTTAAGACTCAATTTTAATTAGGCTTGAGACAGAATTTTGGGTGCCTGAATTCATGAAAACTCATTATCATTGCCACATATCTGGCTTTTTAAAACAGTCTGTAAAGAAATATTATGAACAGAAAGGTAAACAGAAGGTACCTTTTTTTTTTCCCCTGGAATAATCTACATCACAAGGTACACTATGGGACACCACTTACAAAAATCTATATTGTACCTGTCCTTTTTATTTATTTATTTTTATTTATTTTTAACATACCTCTTAATGTTGTAATGTTTAAGATGAGCATTTTATTCTTCATCATTCTTAGAGGAACTCTACCACAGAACAATGACGTGTAAGGGGCAGCCCGCAGGCCTCATTTTGTAATTGTAATTTTGTAATTTGTAGACCCTTCTGTATAACACTTTTTCCTTTTTTGTAATTTGAAAATAGAAATTTTTATAAATATGTGGTTTAAATAAGCGGGCCAGATTATCCAGTGACAAAATTCATCTGTAGCCCTCAACATGTCTTGATACGCAGTTTATGATAGCCAAGAAGCTGGCCCACATTAAGATGAAATATATACGACAGTTCTCACCAGTTTTCTCAATCTGTTATGTACAAGGTTGTTTCCTAATCATTTCTGTTGGGGGGAGGGGGAGGGATGTCTGCCTTCTCCCCTTTCCTTCCCTTCCCCCTCCCCTCCCTTTTTTTTTAATCAGTTTTGGACACATTTTCCTCTCTGGTTAACCTAGCTCTGACTAGGATGAAAAAGGCATTGTCCTCTGCTGGAAGACTTATGTGATGAGGAAACCACATTTGCAGGAGACAAGCTTGTGGTCAATTTTCTCCCTGTGTACAGAGCAAAGAAAAGGCTTTTTGTAAAGAAGAATTTAAAATAGGGTTTTCATGAATCATTGTTTGCTGGACATGCCAGGGAAGTCTAAATTAAGGAAGACATCTTTTCACTTAGCTAGGGAAAGCCACAGTTCATAATTCTTTCAAAAACACACAATGGCAAACTTTGTATTATTTAGATACTAAAAGCAAAGCCAGAATAGATTCAAAGCTGGCTAGCTGTATTTTATAATTCTCTAGGAAGTGTGTTTTATGAGAATTGAAGGGGAAAAAAAAACTTAACTGCAGTAGAACTGTTCAGGAATTTCTGACTACATGGATACTCATTTTTAAATGTTAATATGCAAAAACTAACTTTTTATAGGAAAGAGAAAGTTTGGAAGGAAAACCCCTTGAAATACTTCACAGTAACAAAAGAAATTTCAGGTTTTATTTGAATTAGACAAAAACTTAAGAGATCAAGAGCCTGGCTAATGTCCCATAGTCTTGAGGCATAGGAAAACAGGCTTCCAGTACAAAACATGTATGACAAGAAAGATGAACAGAGATCTGTTGGTGAATGTCCTAGTGTTATATATTCTAGGGTTATATATTCGTGCCAAAACAATGCTATTTTTACAAGTTTTATCAGCTCCCAACAGGAGAAAAATGCAGGTGCTACTTAACAGGCTGGTGATGGGACACACCTGAATTATGCGAGTCTGAGAAGTAATTCCCTGCACCAAGTGGGGCAGAACAGTAACTTTCTCTCAATTTTTTCATAAAAAGAGAGGGAGGCAACCTCATGAGTCAAATCATCATCAACATTAATTATTAATAATTAATCTGAAATTATTAACTATTTCTATTCTTAAATATAATAGCATGTCAGTTTAATTCCTCCTACAATAAACTGGTCTATGACCATTTATGCCATTTTGTTTATCTGGGAAATAGTTTATTACTTTGGTTATGCTATGAAATTTGTAACACAAGAACATAGGTGTCTGAGGAAAATATGTTTACTAAAATTAACTCAAACTAAAACCAGGCTCCAAAGGATCTTATGTTTCATTTATGTCAAGATCTGGAAAGAAAAAATCCAGAGGCTCTTGGAGGAATGGATTATGTTACCAGATGAATTAAAAATTCTTAAATTAGGGATGTTTTAAATCTGAATCAATATTTTAGCAATGCAATCATAAGCCTTAGAAATTTTTGAAACTGTGAAATAAAGCTAACCTTTCTAGTAGTAGTATTAATAATCTTCAACTTTATTGTTGTTTACTTACATTGTACTTCACAGTCATCATCTGGATGAGAGACAAGTATACTGAAAGTACTAGAAGCACACACACGCCATCATTATTGAATTTTGATGTTTCATTATAATTCTGATGAATTTATCCCTTATATTCAACCTTTAGCTTTGTTCTTTGAATTGGTATAAAATTCAATAAAATCTGTAGCTTGAGCCAAATTTTATTTTCTGTTCTGTTCATTCATGACTATAAATCAAAATTTGAAAAGATTTATATCATCCATGTGAATGAGAGATGAAGAAGTCATACTTTCAGCTTCATTACTCAACTGAAAATATTGTAATCCTTTATTTTTCCCTGAATGTTCTTGTTTGGCAGAATACACCCTATATAGACAGTCCACTGACTGGGTCAAGTGTATAAATTATACTGTATCCATGGTGCTGTTACGGTGTAAAAGAAAAATAAAGGTTTGCAGAGAAAGTCAATAAAACAGTACTATAGAAGGGGAAAAAACAAGGGCTTTGAGCAATATCGTTTTTAGAGTTCAAATAGAAACAATTTAAATACTTGCTGAGATTAACTATCTTAAACTGAACCGTGATAATTAATTAGCTAGCTGGAGAGAAAAGGGCAGTTATTATCAGAGAGGAATATTAACAAAAAGAAGGTGATAAAAAACATCAGTTCTGTGAGCTACAGGAACAAACAAATGTTTATATACATCATGGGAATAACTCTCTTCAGTCAATTTTTGAAGATGTTATCAGCTTCAATGCCGTAAGTCATCTTCTGTGGATATTTTAAGCATTAAGGAAATGAAGAAAGAAAAATTATTTTGAAAAGATTTTTCTCTATAGTCCTTCACTGACTGGCTTTTTGAGGTCATCTGGATGCCTAACGTTAGTTTCATAGGTGATTTTTAATCTATTAGCTGAAGGATACTGCATTCAGGAATGCATACATACAGTCCGCTGGATTTAAGTAGTTAATTTTGTGTTGGGAGTAGTTTTTGGTGTCTCTAGACAGGCAGGATTGGTTAATATAGAAACTAAGAAATTATCCTGAAAGATCATAAGATAAGGCTTTCATCATGTGGATCAAGCTCTTTACTAGGAAATCACAATTTTCTAAATTATTTGACGAATTATAGTAAGCATTAGATTTTCTGTGGAAATACTCAACAGCCAAACCACAAAAGCTCACTTTAAATTCCACCAAAGTCAGTTCACAGCATAAAATCAGGTCTCAAGTTGGACCTAGATATAATCAGCATAATTAAAAGTTAAATTCATAAGCAAAGGGAAGAACATACTTTCATAACAAATAAAGGCCAGAGAAACCAAGATGAATCAAAACAGAAATATTTTCTCAATATAGCAGTCTTGTTTCCACAGCTCTTTTCCTACTGGTTTATATCATCCAGCTCCTGGGAAATCAGGTGCTTCCTGCCAATTGAAGATCATTAACACTCTAAAAACAAACACATGTTTTTCTGTAGATCCTTGTTAGCATAATATTAAGACTCTTGCTTTATAGGAAGACATTCTGATCTAACCTCAGACAGGTAGGAGTTTCACTATGTTTGTTTATTGTTGTTGTTTTTTATATTAAATGAAACAAGTGTTTAGTTTATATCAGGTTGTAAAGAAATCAAGATAACACTGAAGACAAGAAAAGAGGAAAAAATAAAGCTCATTTTTAAGTAACTTTGGATATCTATAGTGGAAGAAGCTATTTAAGCTAATAACACCCCAAGAACATAAATGCTTATAGTGTAAATGCTTACATTTATTAAAGTGAATGCCATTCTGAATTATTTTAAGAAGTAACCTTTAAGTTATGATGTCATGGTCTTAAGTCTGAGTTGATTTCAGTGGCTTCAACACAGCAACATACTTAAGCAATGGCCTAATTTTAAGCATATGAATAGTCCTATTGAAGTCAGTGAGATATTCACATATTAAAGATATGCTTTAGAGCTTTGCTGAATCAAAGCCTATGTGAGTAATATGCAACGTGTGTTTTTTATTGCAATAACTCCGTTACATCACTTTACCTTTAGGTAGTAATTTCTCTGTACACTAGAATTAATGTTTTCAGAAAGCTCTCTTAAATTTTTAATATTTTGGCATTTTTAGAGCATATGCTGGTAAATTAGTAAGGCTTTTATTCTTTCCAGTGCTTCATAATAGCAGTAAAATCTAATAAAATATAAATCAATGTTTTGGCTACTGCATTAATTGAATAGTACAGCTGTTTCCATCTTGCAGTTAGGACTGAAAATATAATTAGAGACATGCTAACATTTTTTTCAATGCATCATATAAAAAAAGAGATGAGCCTGAATAGTAATATCATTTATGAAAGTAGCAAAGATCTTTTGAGGTGTTTAATAGTTAAACAGCTAAACACATCTATCACTTACCTCTCAAATCCTTAGAAGTGTAGGTGGTCGTAACAAGTTCAGAAAGTATCTGTATTTTCAAATGATTTTGTTGTCCTTCATCTGCAACTTACAAGCTGTCATTGATGAAAGCATAAAACTAGAGTATATCATAAACTGCAGGTTTTACATGTGCATCAATCTCCCAGATCAGCTAAAAGAAGAAAGCTGGGTTGTAGTACACCGGAACCTGAAGATGGAAACTGTGAAGAAGGAAACCTTGCCTCAGAAGTGTTTGACATTCTGTTTTGATCTTGGTTAACATCTGAGCAGAACACAGTATTCTGGTCTTGGCAGCGTATCTGGCCCGTTGAATCAGGATGGCGGAGTACTGCCAAGAACAGGTCATCCCAGCCTCAGTGAACTTCTCCAGCAGCTACACAGGAGGTGCAAACTCATCAGCTGTATGCAAATTAAATGAAGAACTTAGGTTTTTGACATCTTCCAACAGGATCTGCAGTAGGGTCAAAGCTTGTTTTTTCGAACAGATAAGATACGCTATTTTCCTTCCGTATCAGTCAGATACTCAGTATATTGAGATCTTCCCAAACAAGCCTTACTGTAAACTATTCATATATCAAGATATCCTACAGCAGTCTTTATAAAAATAAATGAACTACTGACATTAAGCTGAAAGGTAAGCAAAGGTGCTGAGTGTTAAACATATTAAGAGGGAGAGAAAATCTGTTAATCGTTTTATTAATGTTTTCTTGTCTGCAGAAATCCTTGAAAATGCTCGTAATTCTTTACAGCTGACAGGCTGCTGATTTTGCAGAAAGAAGAGGTTTTTCAGTCCCTTAACTCTAAGTCACAGTTGTTCCTTGTTTTAACTACTGGAGAATTAGTTCAATAACCTCCCAAATAGTGAGTGCCTATGCACTTACAATATAAAAAGGTCTGCATCTGAGAAAAATTATAGTCAAACAAATACTACATTGAAATACAAGTTTAATGAGCTACACTGGAGCTGTGTAAGAGACTGTCAGTCATTTTGCCCCCATATGGATTTTTACAGTGCTGTTACTTCACTTGTTTCAGCAGATTTAGTCCTTATTCGAAGGATTCCCCTCTTTCCTATGCACTAAGTGGCTCTCAAACATTCTCAGGCAGGAAGGGGCAGACAGGGTTGAGGCTTTGGGTCTGTGATCTTCTCGAACTGGTTACAGTGCCCACAGTAAAGTCAGGCTCATCTGTCCATGTTGTTTAGCACTAGTACTGTCTTGAGGACTGTTGTTAAAGCACCTTCATAATACCTCCTGTGAGAAACCACTCACTTTTATGCACATCTGATGCCTGTCTCCAAGCAGAGTGGATATTCTCCAATTTGAATAGACACAGACCTGTTACAAGTCCTAGTGCCCAAATCCACCAACAAATTTTACATAATCACAGAACAGCTGAGGTTGGAAAGGACCTCTGGAGAGTCCAACCCCACTGCCAAGCAGGGTCACCTACAGCATGTTGCACAAGATCACATCCAGGAGGGTTTTGAGTATCTACTGAGGAGACAGTTCCTGCAAGGCAGATGAGGCTTTCTTTAGCTAAGACAGACTATTCCCATGTCCTCATTCATTGTGTGCCTTTTCAAAACTCTTCAGAACGTGGGGCACTAGGTTGTCCCTGTCAATTGCACTGTCCATACAATACTGTATTTGCCAGGTGGGAGTCAAGCATTTTGTAGGAAAGAGATATGTTTCAGACCACAAGTGGAGACAGAAGCATATTACTTCTACAATAAAGAACAAAGTTTTCCAGGAATTCCAACTAAATTTCGAGGCTTTTTTTCTTTCCTAACCAGTGTCTCCTCCAGCTGGCCAACAAGATGGAGCCTGACTAGCAGTTGGCATCACATGATCTCCAAGTAACTAGAGCTGTTCACCATTTTGTGTGGTTCTACAGCTGTCCACTGAGTTTTCTCCCATTTCTCTTCTGCTTGTATCCCTTTACTTTTTTTCACCTTTTCAAGACAAAAACGAGTAGGAAAATTCATCTATTCCTTCCCTTCAAGAGCCATTGCTTGACTGAAAAAGAGATGGTATCTAATATCACAATAGGAAATAATTTGATAAATTTATATTGTCAAATATTTGGGGTCTTTTTAGATATATTTTTAAATTATATATATAAATATGTATATAGCTTGGTAAATATATCTCCAAATTTTGGCATAAATGTTTTTGTTGAAATGCTAGACATGCTGAGGTTCCTGTATGAAAACATTTTTTCAAAGACTAATATTTTATGCTGACAGAAGCATTCTGGAAGCTTTTATTTATTTTTTCTTCCTGAAGAACAACAACAAAAACAACAAACAAACATACAAATTAAAATGAAAAGGCTGGTATCAAATTGTGTATATTGTTAAGTGTGAGCATGCTCTTCATGTTCACCTGAGGACAGTGTTAAACTTCTATAGTGAATTGAGTTAAGAAAACTTTTTATTAGCAAGATATCAATAAAAGGTCAAGCAGTAGTTAGAAAAATAAGATTTAAATATTCAGTATCATATATATACATATACATTATACCAGAAAAAATGAATGTTTTCCAAAAAGCCTTTTTTGCTACTTAAAGTATTAAGATTCACCTGGTGAATCTTAAATCTTATATTCACTGTGATTTCCTTTTGCACTCCTAAATTTCAGATAAATTACTGGGTTAATTCAGGTGACTGCCTTTATAAATTAAGTCTCAGAATAGCAGGAACAAATAACAAAGTACAGAGCAGACAATTACATCAACATTTAGGAATTATGGAGGGTTTGCCAGAAATACCAATCTCATGTGGAGACAGGAAGAATTATCGTGGGGTAATTCAGGCATGGGGAAGTATCCTGGCATGGGGAATAATGAAAGAAGGAGTTCTTATTTCCAGCAAATAAGGGTGGAAGACTGAGTGTATATATATGAAGTAATAATAATAAAATCTAATGTTAATCCAGGAGGGGTTCAAAATAATGATCAAAGCTGACAGCAGTTCTCAGGCTAGTGGCTGCTTGGTTTTAGAGCCATGCCATCATATCAGTCCTACACCTGTTTAACCCCCAACTCCCTTGTTATCCACACACAATCTCCCTTTGCTCTTTGGAATTTGTTTGTTTTTATGGCTAATGGGCATAGGTAAAAGCCAAAGTGAAATTCAGTTTATGTTGGCATCTCTCTACTTCACAATGGGAATGCAGAATCATTAATATTCCTCCCATGACCTTTCTCTATACGTAGCTACATCGAGTTCAGAGTGGTGTAGCTCTGGTGGCTCAGATATGGAGTATGTTTTGTTTCTTCTAGAACTTAAGCACTATGCAATGATTGCTGGAAATGACTGATTTTGACTCTATTGAACTGATTTACCTTGTTTTTTGTAGCAGGGTAGTCAAAACTGGGCTCCAGCTGGGATCTCATGTTTGCAGGATAAAGAGAAATTACCTCCTCTATGTCACAACCTGTTAATTGTCAACAGCATCACATTTTTCACCTGGATTTAGTTTGTGATCCACTCTAACTTCCTTTCATAATTTTTTTTTTTTTTTTTTTTTTTTTTTTTTTTTTCCTGCTTGTCATGTTGTTCTTGATTTTCTGTTTGCATGTTCAGTCTTTCAGATTTTTTGTCATTGCTGCTGTGCTGCTTTTGGACCACAAAATTTGTAGGGATTGGTTTGAATGGCAGTTGTGGTCTCCAGTGAGCTTCCCATTTTCTATGCGACTTACAAACAGGGTGGGTAGACTCTGTGCTGTCATTTAATGCATTTAATGTCTGTGCTTTCATTTAATGAAAGGATGGAATAGAAGAGGGTGCCACAGAAATACGTTGCTAATTTGTGAGGAAAATGTTGACAACTTCTCTTTGAGTATGGTGGGTTTTTTTTGTTTTTGTTTTTTTGGTTTTTTTTGCATTTGTCATTGAGTGATTTGTTCAAGGTATTATTTCCTTCTCTGGCTTAAGAGAATGTCATACAAAGCAAAGTCAAAACAAACAAACAAAAAAAAAAAAAAAACA